GGAAAAGAGAAGATTTCATAAAAAAGTTGTTGGGAGAAAGAAATCGCAAAATGTGTCCATGGATGGTCATGGTTGAGTGCTGCACACTTTACATCCTTTCCCAGGAAGAAATGCAATTTCTTCTACTAAATTCATGACCAAACTGTCCTAGTAATCTTTACGACAAATTTCGAGTTTGACAAAAGATGTTGAACACCATTCAATGTTCATAGCAATTGATTGAAAACTGTTTATTGTTCAAAAATAATATATAGAACTCATAGTATGACTATAATAGCTAAACCAATTTAACACAACAAAAGATATTTTAATATGTAAAATATAGCGGCCTTTGAGATTTTTTTAGTTAGCAATTAGAATGAACAGTTCACATTGACTAATTTGTACTGTCATAGTTCTTTTCTAGGTACTGTAGCAATCTATGTAGCGTTTAGTCATGCTTGCTTACTTATCTTAGCCTTGGACGTGCTTTCAAAATATGAGCTGTATTTCGTGAAATGCTTTACTAATCTATTGAATCTCCCATTTTTTTGCAGGTCTATCAGTACCTTGTATCTGGCAATCCTTCATCAAACCTGATACCGAACTGTTTAGAGGAGTCACCTCCTATTCCTCTATGTAGTGTTTATGCTTCTACAAGAGGAGAGCCACCATTTACAAACTACACACCTGGCTTCACGGGAACACTCGACTATATATTGTTTTCCCCTTCTGATATCATTAAACCAATTAGTTTTCTTGAGCTTCCAGACTCAGATGCAGGTGATATTGTTGGTGGACTGCCAAACTTAAGTTATCCTAGTGATCATCTACCAATTGGTGCTGAGTTCGAAATCACCAAGGAATGAACTTTCTTGTATACCAGGTGTTCTTTAAATTACCAGGCTTCATGCTCCATCTCCTATCCCTTTGTAAACAAGCAAGGCTCTGGGAGCAAGTGTATGATGAATTGGCATAAAATCATCACAGGCACTTGTCAAGAAGGCCAACAGTGACAAAATATGGTGTAGGACTCTTTGTTTATAAATAGATCAAGCTTCTATTGGTCGAGTTGTTAAGCTTCAATGGTGTAGGACAAATTGGTCGAGTTTGTCTCACTTACGCATTTGCAGCTGGATTGTTCTAAAAAAGTCATGTTCTCAGCTAGAGACAGTTTCAGAAATTATGTGTATCAAGTTGAGATAATATTTTGTTATGTATTTTTTTTTAAGTTAAAGCATTTTCGTGATTAAATGCCATTATTTATTTCAAAGGAAAACTGTAAAAAATTATCTATACCAATTTTCTTTGTTGATCTTGAAACTAAATTGATCAATTTGCCTATCAGATATGTCCTTTCACGCCATTATCACTTACTGGTCCCTTTAGCTTTACGACCATGATATTTTTTGTTGGTTATTATTTTTTTATGATTGTTGATGCAAGTTCTGAACCTGTCCATACGAGAAATTTGATGATCATCATGACTGTGGCCTGATTTGGTGGCCCTACGATAACGACTAGCGGTTACACACTAACCAGTTGATTTAAGAAGTCAATGTTCGTTGCCTATTGTCAGATTGAACATATCACTGTTTTCCCTTAACACACATTACCTTGTTAGAATACACTTCCTATTTGCAATAAATTCCAAGTATCACTTTCTCTTGTTCGGTTAGTGAAAAGTAGGGTGTATGAGTGAAGATGAGATAAGAAGGGGTGTATGGTGGAGAAGAGTTAGAGGAGATATATTTTTTAAGAAAACTAGGATCTCCCAGTAATCTTTTTACTCTATTTTTCATTTATTTTTATTCATCTTTCTATCTCTTTTTATTCTTTATTCTCTATTTATCTTCAACTAAACAACTTCAATTTCTATTTTATTTCTCTTCAACTTTTTCTGTTATAATATTTTTTCTACTTCTCTTCTTTGTATCAAACAATCCATTGTAAGAATGGTAACAGTAAAATCTAGTATTTAAATTCAGCATCTAACTATCTATAATTTTATATTTTTAGTGCAATAATGAAATCAATTTACTTGTTTTGCTAGTGTAGGGAATCTTGAAACTACAGTTGTTCCATGGCTAATTTTGCTCTGCATTATCTAAATGTTGGGCGGCTCTCATCTATCCATTCGGGTGATGTTAAAGGACATTTTACTGTTATCATCAATACGATAGATTGCAGCAGGGCCCTCACAAATTGACACACAGTTATGATTGGCTCGTTTCATTTTAAGAGTGGGACCACGAATATTGCAAGTTGCACGTTGGGCGGGTCTGGTACGTTTGGTTTATGTTCTCAGTTTTCATGTTTTTAAGGTTGGTTAAGTTAACCGCGGATGTTGCTCCATGTCAATCAAGGTAACTAACTCCATAATCTGTAAAGTTTAAGAGAGAGGTATTGCACTTAATAACCTGAGTTTCATTCCAAAAGAAGTTCAAGAACATGATCATATATTTTCTATCAAAATATAAAAACATGCTCATATATATAAGCCACATCTAGTATGGTACTTAGATGTAATGCTAAATGAAATCATTAAAAGTTTCTTTGAAGCGAACTTCATATCTTTAAAACAGACATTAGATATAATATAAAAAATTAGATTGTGACATGGTCATACAAGCCAGTAGAAACATATACTGTCTCCGAAACCAGATCCAAAGGAAAGTGGGGAAGTGGGGCTCATGGCGATTAAAGCACCGTGCATATTCGTCTTTGGATGGAAGGTAAATGAAACTTTTCCCTCATGACTGGGAAACAGTATGTACAGATAGAGGTACCTTTATGGCTATATCCCCCAGGTCAGCATCAGAAACTTTAATTGGGTTGCCGTGTGCGGTACATCAAATATTTAACATTTCAACTAACCTTTTCATGAACTGGAATCAAGCTCGACCTAAATTCTTGAGGTAACAAAAATAAATGCTCAATAAATTTTTATACAGCTTGATGAACTTACTTTTTTCACGGGAGCTGATCAAATAAAGATTGTGCAAATGCAAATGAAAATCTTGACAAATTTCTCAAATTCATCATTATATTCTCTACAGAGGAAAGTTTAAAACTTAGACAAATTTACTTTAAAGAAAAGTGCTCCATAATATTCTTTTAATCGTTAAAATAAAATTGTTTCAATGAATCTCCAAATAGAATAAACAAGTTTATCCTAACTTTTTACTAACAACTATTTGACATTCTTCTTCTCTGCCTGTCTTTTCTTAGTCACATATCTCATGTAAGTATATCACTTTTCTCTTTAATTTTTCATCTCTAGGTTTAGACATTTTTTAGTGTCGATGGAACATTATCCATATAGTAAACATGGCACCCAACTTTTAATGTTCCCTTTTAACACATTCATGATTCAGACATTTAAATTTCTTCTTTTGCTGTGGTGTGTGCTCCACATGTGTTGCTATTAGTCTTACACTAATCTTTCTTTCTCCTTTTGGATGGGATGGGGATGTTCCATTTCAAACATTTTATTTGTTAATTTTCCTTTTATTTAGATTTTTGTATGCTTCTCTGTTTTCAGAAAGCTCTACACTACTGCAGAAGCAAAAGAAATCCATCAAGAAGAGTGGTGACAAATTCATGGATCATCTCATAATGGGAACCTGGCACATTTGTTATTCAATGCTCTGGAATTTTCTACACATCCAAGTGTTATTTTTGACATAGGAATGGAATATATGTGGGCTAGCTAATCTCCCATTTAAGTTTAGTTGGAACTATGTCCATGCGTGTGTCTGAATCTTCTGGAATACGTTTGATCTAATCCAATAATAGTCTTTTTGCTTGAAACGATTCTTAAAAGTATCGTATTAGTTAAAATATCTCGACTTTACGTGCTGAGAACATGCAAAATGGAACATAGTATACTCTTGGACTGGTCCAATTAGTAAATCTTCAGAAGAAAATATATACTGATGTAGTTAATTAATTAACACTTCAGCAGCTTTTGGCAAAACTGTCACCAATAACATGTGGAACAAAATAATATTTTGTTCAACTTTTATTTATTACATCAATACATATGTTAAATCAGTTCCCCAAAAATGTATTTTTACTTCTTAATCCTGCAGGGAACTTCTGAAGAAACCTGCGCATAGAAGTGCAACTCTAGTCAGCAACTTGATTACAAATTTCTACTCAAGTTTAATAATATAAACATTCAGATATTTTTAATTTATTGCTTTATATGCTCCAACATAGTGGTGAACCAGATATGAGAACATGCATGATGCCCCCTACGAGAAAGCTTTGTTAATTTGGCAGAACTGGCACTGAGAAATATGGCTCTGTAGTCATTGGTGCTTCAATGCCCATTATTTTTGCTTCTCCGGCAACTTCTCCAAGGAATCCGTTGTAGAAGGCTTTAACCTTTATGACTATGTAAAGAAAAGATGATGCAAGGTACGAGAATCCCAACCTCTGAAGCTTTTGTGCTTGTTGTCTACCTCGGTTTGTGCCACGTTTTGCACTCTTTTCATGTTCCATGTTATTATTATGATGTTCTTTGAAGTTACCTTGGGGATGGATTCGATGATATTCATAGTTTTGGCGATGAGACTGTGGGCAACGGCTCCCTCTTTCACCGTAAGAGGCTGCACAGTGCATTAGTCTCTGGGATCTTACAACACTATCAAATTGGGAAGCCATGTATGTGGTTAGTGTTTATCAGCAAATTGGCTAGGAGATGGTTTCACAAGAGTGTTGTGATGTGTGGAGCTCAAAGGACTACTCTCTCTCTCTCTCTCACTCACTCTCACTCTCTTCTAAATTCTAATTGAGATTTGTAATGATGAGGACCTTTATATAGAGAAGGCCAACATGGAGTGAAGATATATTTGGGTGTGATTTTGAGGCCAATATTTATCTTTTCACACCCTTTGGTGTGTTACACACGCCAACTGACAAGTATAAGAAACTGTGATAGAAAGTGACATGAATAGTGCATCAGAAAGGAATGTGTTCAAAAAACTGAGAGTCTCCAAAGGGATGCTAATGAATTAGGTGAACTCATTTACCTATCTTTTCCAACAAATGTCTTTATTTTTCTTTCATAAAAACTAAAACTGCTTTAGAAGAGGAAAATAACGAAGAAATTGAGTCTAACAATGCCTGATAACATTAACTTATTATAACACTGCCCTAACAGTATCAAAATTTCAAAGTTAACTCTTAAGCCTGTGATCAGTGACCTCAAAATTTCAATGCAACAAGTTTAACCCCATAGCAATAACAGTTAGTGTTACTGGTTTAAAAGCAAGGGCTGCAAATATGGGAAAATGAAAATGGGGTCCCATAGAATTAGGAACAAGTACTTGGCACGTGAAGCGTAGGACCCATTAGGACAAGCTGGATAGCATTTGTCATATTCATTCAACTTCAGTGAGATGCAAGTTGGGGTGGAAGGAATTATGGATCACGCAATTACATGGTTAGGAGCGTAATCACAGTTTCAATTCAGAGAGACAATTGAAGATCAAGTGGTTGGATTTTAATTTTTGTCTCCCTCATTTGAACCACAAATATCGTTACATTATAAGGGTTAGAAATCAAAAAAGCATATAAAATTTAGATTCAAAGTAACTTAATTTTATAAAAATTACATACAAAATAAAATTATACTTTATTAATATATTCAATTTTAGTGATATATATATATATATATATATATATATATATATATATATATATATATATATATATATATATATATAAACGACTTTAAATTGATAGACACATGTGAAATTCACATGGGAGAGTGAGTTAATCCAAGAGAAGTTAAATGACACAGAAACCTAAAATTGGAAATAAAAATGGACTAGAAACGAAAGAGAACAAATAAATTATATATGGCAGAGTTGTCCTTGTGGCGGTTTATTTGTCTTTACCTCATTGCATTTGGAAAAGGTCTAAATTATCTTTAGCCTATGTCTGTGTCTGTATGGATTCAACATTAATGCACATGCTGTGCTACATGCGATGTACGGACTTTTAGTTTTGGACAATCAGTTCACGTGAAATTGAGCTACCCAATTCATCCTTTTCTTCACCTCTTTTCATTATCTCAGAAACCATTCTCATAAGAGTGGAGAAATCAAGTGTAACCACTGAAGTGTTATTCAAGTTTATGTATGTTGCAGTTTTTGGTGCAAGGGAATGGAAGTGTAGTTTATATGCATGAAAACTAAAAATAAAAATTCTGAGTAAGTTTGATATATTATCTTACCTAAAACTTTAACAACTAAAGTCTTCAGGACAATTAACGATTCTGACTTATTTGATAAAATAGAATGAGAGGAACAACACTTCTGCTAACAAAAATAAGATAAACCTTGTGCATTTCTTACCAATTTCACTTCATCAACCTTCAAACAGTTAACTGTTTTGATATGACTTCATTTGTGTATTTATCATTCTTTAATTACAACAAAGTCAATGGATGCAAGTTAAAAGCATTCATCAATTGGGAGAATCATACGTTATCATATCGTCTGTGTCAATTATCTGGGTATGACTTATATATTTATTGGGTTACTTCGTTTAATGTGAATTAGTGTTAAGCTGAAATCTGACATGATATTAGAATTTTAACCTCGCCTATTACAGTGGGCATCATCCTAATTAAGGGGATATGCGGGAGAGTCCCTAATCGACTGTGTCAATTCTCCATATGTGACTTAACTTATATATCTGCTGGACCATTAAAATATTTGGTTTTGAGTTGAAACCTAACACAACTGATCTTGCTACGTAATATTGAGAGCTTATAAGGTACAAACGAAAAGGATTTTGAATTAAATGAGTTTAGGTATCTAGAGTACAGAAAAAATTATGTTCAGTTTGAGTAACATACAACTAATTTGAAGTACATTGAAACACATGATGATATGAGAACATAGTGATCAAATTATATAATAAAAGTACCTGCTGTGCCGTTTATACATTTAAGAAGTGATGAACGAGTAGAAAGTGGAATTTGATCTTTGCAATGTTTGATAGTCTACATTTTCAGTCACATTTGCTGACTTGTCTCAAACTGAAACACAATCACTGGATGAAATTGTTTGATTATTGTATGAAATTACAAGTACCACTCCTTGGATAGATCGAAAAGTTTCTGCATATATGGTTGACATATTTTTTCCTCTGCTATCTTATTATTTAAACATGGTTTTACACAAGAGCTTGGGCTCGGAAATGTGAAATCCCTTTAAATATAGAGATTGATTTAAAGTCTGTGAAAAGAATATTCAATCAGTGCATCAACTATAGACAGAATAATAAACCTAAAGTTAGACAGCACTCTCTGTGATATAGCCCCTTAAAATTTAAGAAAAGTACATGGATCCAAAAAATAATATTAAAATTGGGAAAATCATGGGAAATAAAGTACAGGAAATGGATTATACATGCATTAGCATGGGATAGGTAACTTGATGAAGAATTCATATGAGCAGATACAACAACAAAATCCTTATCCCTCTGGGTATTTATTTATAAGAGCTGAGTAAATATAACTAAACAGTACACCATATTGCAAACACATCAGATTTTGAAATACCCTTGACTTTTGACCTCAACTTTGATTATTCAAGAGCCAACACCTGAAATTTGAGAAGAAGCTGGTTACCTTTATAGTTCTGGAATTTTGAAACAAGGAGAAAAACAACAGAAAGTGAAATTGTAACTTTATGAGCTGAAGCCAGCAATATATGCAATTAAGAACATAGAACCCTCTATTTTACTATATTCTGAAGTTTGAAAAGTGTTGAGATATGTTGTTTATGTATCTTTTAGTATTCTTTTTCAATGTTCTTTAGACTAGGGTTAAGAGTTTGGGCTGAGGTTCATATCCTCTCTATTGTATCCCTTTTTTCTATAAATACAATGTATCAGTACCTTTGGTCACTGCATCAAACCCTAAATAAGTTTTCTCAAGTTGGTATCAAAACGGGTAAGATCTCACACTGATTTCCGGTCGCCTTTGTCAGTTCCGGCCGCCGTTAGCCGCCTTCCAGTGGCCGGAATCAAGGCCGACCAACTTTGTCCAACTCGCCGGCGTCTTCCGAGTCCAGTGATGCCCTTAGTTTTCTGGTTTGAGAACTGTGTGTAAAAAGTCCCGTGGATAATCCTATTCGTTGGCTTTATTCATCTTTTCTGGTTTAGATGGCTACATCTTCTACCTTCACCTTCTCTGCTACTCCCACCATAACTAGTGGTAGACTTATCCTGGTCCGCTTCAGTTGAGTTGTGGTTTCTCGGCCAAGGGCATTACGACCATTTGGAAAAGATGTCTACTTTATTTCCGCTGCAAAAAGGTCTCAGTGGGAGAAAATAGACTTCCAACTTTGTGCAATCTTATGACAGTCTGGGAAACCGGATGTTCTTGAGCTTCTCAGGTCATTGAAAACCTGTTCTTCTTTTTGAAAAAAGGCTCAAGACATTTTTAGTAATGATATTAAATCTTTTTGATACAACTCAAAGAGTGACGTCACTTAAGCAGACCAATCACAACATGATGGCTCACATCGCAAAGCTAGAGCTGTTGTGGAAGAATTAAAAAGGTTTTATTGTTGCAAATACCTTAGAGGAGGTAAACACCAAACTTGACAAGCTATATATGGTTCTAAATTTGAGAAGTCTGCATTCTGACTTTGATCACATGCGTGATCAAATACTAGCTGACGATCAGGTTCCATCAATGGATAATCTTATCACTAGATTGATTCGGGTTCCTAATCTCATGGTTGATGAGAATCAAGATCACTAGATTGATTCGGGTTCCTAATCTCATGGTTGATGAGAATCAGGTGGAGATTGTTGAAACTTTTGCTATGGTTGCCCCTTAGGGTCGAGGGGGGGACGCAATAATCGAGGTGGACATGGTAGTTCGAAAGTTCGTCCTCAATGCATCTATTGAAATAGGATGGGACACACACAGGAAAATTGTTATTCCTTGCATGACTTTCCTGATAAGACTGTCCATGCATCTAAATTGGAGAAGTCATATATGAAGATTTCTGATGAGGAGTATCAGGAGTTTTTGAAGTTCAAATCTAGAAAGTTTAACAGTCAGAGTCAATCCTCTTCAATGCATGTTTCAACTGCATGCATTTCTCAATCTGTGGAAGGTCAGAACCCATGGATTCTTGATTTAGGTGTCTCTGATGATATATCTAGTAATAGTTCATCGTTTTCCTTCATGTGTTCCTCACTTAATCACTGTAACTAATGGATCCAAAGTGAAATCTCAAGGTGTTGGCCAAGTTCCTTTAACTCCATCTCTAAATTTAAATTTTGTTCTTTTCATTCCTAATTGCCCTTATAACTTGATCTCTCTAAGTCAACTTACTCATTCTTTGAATTGTTCTATAACATTTACTTTCAATTCTTTTGTTATTCAGGAACATGGTACGAGTCGTTTGATTGGAGAAGGACATGAATCACGTGGTCTGTACTATCTAAAACCAAGTCCTTCGGTGTCTAGTCGGGTTTCTCCTGCCCCTAAACTTTTACATGATCGTCTGGGTCACCCAAGTCTATCTAAGTTGAAAGTGATGACTCCTAATCTTCAACATCTTCAGGTTTTAGAGTATGAATCTTGTCAATTAGGAAAACATATTATGTTTACTTTTCCTAAATAGTCTGAAACTCGATGTAATTTTCCTTTTTCAAATATTCATTCTGATGTTAGGGGACCAAGTCGTGTTTTCTCTCTTGGCTTTCGGTATTTTGTGACCTTTATTGATGAATTTTCTAGATGTACTTAGGTTTATTTGATAAAAGACATATATGAACTTTTGTCCATTTTCGTGTCCTCTTTCAATGAAATTAAAAATCAATTTGGGAAAATAATTAAAGTTCTCAGAAGTGATATTGCCAAAGAATATTTCTCTGTCTCCTTTTCTTTTTTCTTATCTTCCTAATAAATTTTACATCAATCAACTTGTCCTCACACCCCACAGAAAAATGGCATTGCAGAAAGGAAAAATAGATACCTTATTGAGACTGTACGCTCTCTAATGTTGAATGTTAATGTCTCTGTTCATCATTGGGAAGATGCAGTTCTCACTGCTTTTTTTTTCTTAATCGAATGTTATCTTCCTCTCTTAAAAATCAAATTCCACATTCTCATATTTTTTCAGATGATCCTCTTTTCCATGTATCTCCTCGTGTATTTGGTTTTACTTGTTTTGTCCACAATGTATCTCCAACTCTTAATAAACTAAGTGCTAAGGCCATTAAATGTGTTTTATTGGGGTACTCTCACCTTCAGAAAGGGTATAAATGTTATTCTCCATCTTCCAAAAGGTATTATATGTCTGATGATATCACCTTCTTTGAGGAAACACCCTTCTTTTCTTCCCCAATGGAAGATGGTTTATCAATTCAATAAGTTCTATCTATACCTATTTCTTTCCCAATTTAGTCTACACATCATAATGATTCACCTCCTACACCTTTACTTGTTCCTATAGATAATTGTGGTTCAGATTCGTCTCCATCAATTTCTCATACCATGGATCCTTCAACCTTACCTCCCATTTCTGATTCTAACTTGCCTATTGCACTTAGAAAAGGCACTTGTTCCACTCGCAATCCCTTTCTTATTTATATTTTTTTATGTTACCATCGTCTTAAAGCTCGTTTAGTAGCTAAAGGCTACACTCAAATTTATGGTCTTGACTACTGTGATACATTCTCTCTAGTAGCTAAGATTTCCACCATTCATCTTTTCCTTGCTGTGGTTGTGATTCGTCATTGGCCCCTTCACCAACTGGACATTAAAAATGTTTTTCTTCATAGTAACCTTGAGGAAGAGATTTATATGAAGCAACCTCCTGGCTTTGTTGCTCAGGGGGAGTATGGTTTAGTGTGCAAGTTACACCGATCTTCTTATGACTTGAAGCAATCACCCCAAGCTTGGTTTGAAAAATTCAGCCATGTTGTGCAGTTGTTTGGCATGAAAAGGAGTGAAGCAGACCACTCAGTGTTTTATTGTCATTTCTCTTTAGGCAAGTGTGTGTATCTTATGGTTTATGTTGATGATATTGTTATTACAAGTAATGATTATACTAAGATCACCCAACTGAAGAATCATTTGTTTGCTCACTTCCAAACCAAAGATCTTGGTCAATTGAAATATTTTCTTGGTATTGAAGTGGCCCAGTCAAAGGAAGGTGTGACCATCTCTCAAAGGAAGTATGCTCTTGATATTCTGAAGGAGATTGGTCTAACAAATTGTAAGCCCATTGATACCCCCATGGACCCTAACCAGAAATTGATGAAGGATGAAGAAGAAAAATTGTCAGATCCAGAAAGATATAGGAGGTTGGTTGGTAAATTCATTTATCTTACTATTACCAGACCGGATCTTTCTTATGCAGTTGGAGTAGTTAGCCAATTCATGCAAAATTCTTGTATTCATCACTAGGAAGCCTTGATACGCATTCTGAGATATATTAAAAGGGCCCCAGGACAAGGGTTGTTATATGAAGATAAAGGTAATACTCAAATTCTTGGTTATTGTGATGCAGATTGGGTTGGTTGATAGATGATCGACTACTGCGTATTGTATCTTTATTGGAGAAAATTTGATTTCTTGGAAGAATAAAAAGTGTTGAAAGTCCCACATCGCCTACCTCATATCATTTGGTATGGTTTAAATACATGTTAGGCTACTCCACATATAGCCAATTGGTTTTATGTTGGAACCTTAACATGGTATCAGAGCCAAAGTCCAACATCTTTCCGATTATTGTCATGGGCCAAAAGTTTCCCTTAGTTGGATCAAAAGTACCCTTTGCCTGGTCTGGCAGGCTTCGTTGGAGGGGGCGTATTGAAAGTCCCACATCGCCTACCTCAGGTCATTTGGTATGGTTTAAATACATGTTAGGCTACTCCACATATTGTCAATTGGTTTTATGTTGAAACCTTAACAAAAAGCAAAGTGTTGTTCGATCTAGTGCAGAAGCTGAGTATAGATCTATGGCACTTGCTACATGTGAACTTGTGTGGATCAAACAACTCCTTCAAGATTTAAAATTTTGTGATATTAGACAAATGAAGTTATTGTGTGATAATCAGGCAGCTCTCCATATTGCCTCCAACCCAGTCTTTCATGAAAAAACAAAATATATTGAGATTGATTGTCATTTTGTTAGAGAGAAGTTGTTGTCTAAGGAACTTGTAACTGAATTTGTAAGCTCCAATGAGCAACTGGCAGATATTTTAACTAAATCCTTAAGAGGATATAGGATTCAATTCATTTGTTCCAAGCTTGGTACATACAATTTGTATGCTCCAGCTTGAGGGGGAGTGTTGAGATCTGTTGTTTATATATCTTTTAGTATTTTTTTTCAATGTTCCTTAGACTAGGGTCAAGGATTTGGGTTGAGGCCCATATCTTCTCTATTGTACCCTTTTTTTCTACAAATACAATGTATCAGTGCCTTTGATCACTGCATCAAACCCTAAATAAGTTTTCTCAAGTAAAAGGAAAACTAATTTGTGGGAAATAATTCAAAAATAAAAATGAAAGGGCGTATTAAATATTATTGTAAATGGAACTACTATTATAATTTGAAAGAAACAACAATATGATATGTCTATATTTGTTCAAAAGTAATATGTGGAGAATGAAGTCATTTTCCATTTATCTTACCAGCCAAAAAAACTCTTTTGATTTTGTTTAGCTCTCTAGAGACATCCACCGTATTCATTCTTTCGTTTGGGGACTCTACTGAGCATGCAAGTCCAATTCTAATGACTGAAATGAAGTGCTTTTCAATGGTTGTAGTAAGTTTCTGAGTGTTTTCTTCTCCTGGTGTTGCTTGTCCTTGTTCTGCTACAAGTGACGGGTCCAAAATCTGTAAAATGTTATTAGGAAATGAAATTTTCACAAAATTATGCAAATTTTGACCATCCTCAAAGATTTCATCTGTGGGTTTCCTTCCTGTAAACATTTCCAACATAAGAATTCCAAAACTGTACATGTCGCCATTCATAGACACCTTAGAGCTCATTCCATACTCTGCAAATGTGTAGTGAATATTTCCAATACTTTGTTATTTTGTAAATAAGTTTTCATCAAAAGGAAAGACAATTAAAAAAAAATAGAGTATTTAAGAGTTTATAGACTGCACCTGGGGGAGCATAACCCACCGTCCCTTTTATTCCAGTTGAAGTTGTTTGCTTAGAAGTTTCGCTAGTAATGGTTGAGAGAAGTTTTGCTATGCCAAAATCACTGACATGAGCAATCATGTCATCATCAAGCAGGACATTGCTAGGCTTTAAGTCACAGTGAATGATCGATTGCTCACATTCATGATGAAGATAATGTAATGCAGAAGCAATATCAATCAGGATATTCAATCTTTCATCAAGGCTCAATGTTCTCGGATGCTCTGTATTTAATGTTGTAGGATGCAGCCATTGCTCCAAGCTTCCATTTCTCATGTACTCAAAAACTAGAGCTTTAAATTCTTGACCTTCGTAATTTGTGCTAGAACAACACGTCAAAATCTTAACCAGATTTCGATGCTTAGCATTTTTAAGTGCATTGCATTCAGCAACGAAACTCTTGTGAGCTCCTTTACTTTGAAGGTTTAGGACCTTTATGGCAACAACTTTGTCTTCTAAGTCGAGAGTTCCTATGTAGACAGAGCTAAAATTTGCAGAACCTATCATGTTTGTAGTTGAGAAACCATTGGTTCCGTTGTGCAGACTTTGGTATGAAACTTTAGCCAGTTGGTCAATTGTTGGTGACTCAAATGATGATTTCTTCCCTTTTCTCATCCAGCAGATCATTGAAATAAATGACAGAATGAGAAGAAAAACAACCGCACTAACTATCACTGCAATCAACCTAAACTTGTGGTGTTTAGCAAGTTTCTTAGCTTTGACAGGACATGGTGGTAGATGCAGTTCTGAGATACCTCCACAGAGCTTAATATTCCCAGTCACGTCTAACGCACTTACATTTCGAAAGACACCTTCAGTTGGTACCTCACCGTCCAACATGTTAAAAGATAGGTTGAAATATAGTAATAAAGGAATGTTCTGCAGAACATTAGGAATTGATCCGGACAAGTGGTTATGTGACAGGTCTAAACCTTGAAGGCTTTTGAGTGATGTCAAAGAAGATGGTATGATTCCTTCTAAGGAATTTCCTTGCAAAAAGAGGTACTCCAACATTATGCATTCCCCGATAGTACTAGGAATGTGACCAGACAAATAGTTGTTAGCCAGAGATAGATAATCGACGTGTTTTAGATTCCCCACATCTTCTGGTATGCTACCACTCAAAGTGTTTTGACTCAAATCAAAAAAGTAAGTTAGAGATGACAGATTGAAGATCTCCAAGGGTATGGTTCCAGTAAGGTTGTTTTGATAAAGATCCAGTTCTTGTAACTTTTGGCAGTTTCCTATACTTGGAGGAATATTTCCTTGTAACATATTTTGTTCCATGCCCAAAAAAAACAATTGACTAAGGTTGCCCATGAAGGCTCCTATTTTTCCTGACAGTTTGTTTGCACCCAATGACATCTTTTGCATTTTCTGAAACTTCCCAAAAGTTGATGGGATAGTCCCACTAATGTTGTTATGTTCTATCATCAAGAGATTTAAGCCAATTAAATTTCCTAGCGATGTAGGAATTTCTCCTGATATGTGATTGCCTCCCAGATATAGTTGAGTGAGTTGGGTGGATAAATTGCCCATGGAATTGGGCAAATGACCTCCAAAATTATTGAGAGACATAGCCAAATGTTGCAACTTACTGCAGTTTGTCAAGGATTTTAAAAATTCTAAATCATGAAATGAATTGTCACCTAAACTGTTGTTTTCCAAAGAAATGAATGATAGATGTTGTAGCTTCCCCAAACTTGGAACTTGTCCTGTGAAATAGTTTCCAGAGATCTGAAGTGATGAAAGGATGGATGCATTTGTGATGGAATATGGAATTGGACCTGAAATTTGATTGGCACCAATTACAAATAACCGGAGATTGGGAAGAGTGTAGAACATATCGGGTGGAAGAGAGCCATTGAATTGATTTAGTGATGCTGCAATATCAGTGAGAGACGACATATTGTAGAGACAAGAAGGAAATGTTCCAGTCAGCTTGTTCGCACTCACGTATACAAATGCCAAGCTTTTGAGATTGCATATCTGTTGAGGAATATCTCCCTCTAAGTTGTTCACAAGCACGGAGAGATAAATCAGGGATGAAACATTCCCTATGAAAGGTGAGATTCCTCCTGTTAACTTGTTCTTCCCAACATTCAAACTATGAAGTTTTTTAAATGAGCCAATTTGGATTGGTATTTTACCAAACAAATTGTTTCCAAATAAGTATAAGATAGTGAGATCAGTGCAACCTGTCAAATTTGTAGGAATTTCTCCTACAAATGAGTTATTTCCGATGAAGAGTTTCTGCAATTGTGACAATCGTCCAACTTCTTGTGGGATTTCCCCATAGAAGTTGTTGTTCATGATGTTGAAGTTTGTCATGTATGAGATATTTCCAATGTGTGGAGATAAGAATCCCTTCAATTGGTATCCTTCTAAATTCAACTTTGTAACTCGTTGAAGCATGGAATTGCATGTGATTCCATGCCAGTTACAAAAGTGAATAGAAGTATTCCAAGAGAGTAAGATTCCATAAGGGTCAGAAGATATGGACTCCTTGAAGTTGAGCAGTGCCAAATGATCAGTATTATTTGGTAATGCAAAAGCAATCATGCTTGGGGTAAACCCTACCGGGTTTAACATAAAGAGAGAAAACAGATAGACATGAGTAGCCCAAAATGACAGTAACATGGGTGAGAAATACTTCATTTTGGTGAAGAATTGGAAGCCAATAGATGGTGACACTTTTCCTATCAATTAGACCGCTTTATATAGAATTTGGTAAATGGATGGGATCAGATAGAAAATAAGTGCATTTTGTTCCTTTTTCTACGTTGATATGATTGCCATCAACAAGGGTCAAGGTAAGAAACAACAAGTTCTTTTTATTGGAAAAGAAGTGCAAATAACAACTTCTTTTTATTGGAAAATAATTTCTTTTTTCTTTCAGACTGAAACAACAAATTCTTTCTCTGATGTGCAAAAAGTAAAGAAAGATGCAAAATTTGATATAATATTTAATAGGGAGTTGGCTTAATACCACTAGAATTGGTAGTTAGCCTACAATATTCTAAGAACTTTAAATAATAATGTTGTGTATGGAAGTTATTGCAAGTGAAGCATCCCAGGAAAAACGCCACTCCGAATCAAGCATACCCAACAATGTCCACTTTGGGTATTTTCACACCAAGTTTACATCAAAATCTTATTGTTGGTCTTTTTATTGACACAGGGGATCGGTCGTACACAGTTTGAATTGGAAAAAGTAGAGAATGAAACTCCATGACCTTTTTCATTTTTTATTTTTGAAATTAACAATAATTTAGATCACTCTTAAATAAATTTATCAATTATTTATTGTCAGTTTAATCTAAAACATATCAACAAATTACAATAAGGTCAGAGCCATAAACCTCAGCTTCTGTTTCGCATTCTTACGGAGAAAAATATTTATGGTAGTATCAACAATATTCTATTTAACACAGTTTAGTTAACAACTATTTTGTCTCATGTGTAGATGTTACTGTAGTATCTATAGTATTAATACCATCGTAGTAAAGAAACAGATGAAGACTAAAAAAAATAAAAAGATTATTCTTAATTTTATATGCAGTAGGTGGTAGTGGTGCAAGTCAATAGATGGAAGTCAAGCACCCCAAAGAAGACGTTATTAGTACTACAAATATCTCCAAAAATAATAATTGTATTTGCAAAATAAAAGTTATATGATTTTATTAAAATATATAGGTATATCATTTACAAAAATGAAAGTGGAAATTGATCTTTGCAGTGTTCAAATACTTCTACATTTTTTACACACTAACTGCTTCTACAAGTTAAGGTACTGTCATTTGGATGAAGTCTCGACATGAATGTTTGATGTTTTCTTCCCCTTTATTATCTTAAAATTTAAATATGGAATCCACAACATGATTTTGCAATAGACCTGAACTCAAATAAGAAATCGCTTAAATAGAGAGATTGATGGAAAGTATCCACAAAGCATCAAGTCAATAGATGGAAGTCAAGCACCCCAAAGAAGACGTTATTAGTACTACAAATATCTCCAAAAATAATAATTGTTTTTGCAAAATAAAAGTTATATCATTTTATTAAAATATATAGGTATATCATTTACAAAAATGAAAGTGGAAATTGATCTTTGCAGTGTTCAAATACTTCTACATTTTTTACACACTAACTGCTTCTACAAGTTAAGGTACTGTCATTTGGATGAAGTCTCGACATGAATGTTTGATGTTTTCTTCCCCTTTATTATCTTAATTTAAATATGGAATCCACAACATGATTTTGCAATAGACCTGAACTCATAAATAAGAAATCGCTTAAATAGAGAGATTGATGGAAAGTATCCACAAAGCATCAAGTCAACAGATGGAAGTCAAGCACCCCAAAGAAGACGTTATTAGTACTACAAATATCTCCAAAAATAATAATTGCATTTGCAAAATAAAAGTTATATCATTTTATTAAAATATATAGGTATATCATTTACAAAAATGAAAGTGGAGATTGATCTTTGCAGTGTTCAAATACTTCTACATTTTTTACACACTAACTGCTTCTACAAGTTAAGGTACTGTCATTTGGATGAAGTCTCGACATGAATGTTTGATGTTTTCTTCCCCTTTATTATCTTAAAATTTAAATATGGAATCCACAACATGATTTTGCAATAGACCTGAACTCATAAATAAGAAATCGCTTAAATAGAGAGATTGATGGAAAGTATCCACAAAGCATCAAGTTTCACTATTTCTATATTTTGATTTACTGAATATTTCCAACATATGCTTTTAAGGCTACAGTTTGACACACCTGCTTTGGGTTTTACCCATTAATTTGTATATCTATTTATGGAAGTAAGTTTCTCTGTTTTACTTCTTTTCGTTTATGAATTTCATGTCTGATAAACTAGTTATAAAGAATTTTATACTATATATACGGTGAATATGGATTCAGTTTGTGAACTTTTCTTTGTTAAATAAAATAAAATTGAAACCATTGTGTTGCTCTATTAAAATTTGGAAAATCGAAGGAAATAGAAATAAAGGAATTGATGTTACTTGAAGGTGAATTGATGAAGTACAACACACTGCAAAGACAACAGTTTTTGTAGTGGCTATGGCATTTAACCGCAGCTTTGATTATTCAAATATCCAAACCTGAAATTCGGGAAGAAGCCATTTACCATCTTAGTTTTGGAATCTTGAAATACATAACAAAATGGCAGAAAATTAAATTGTAGCTACAACCAATCAACTTCCTAGACCATGCCTTGCAATTTTTGGTAGGACGAAATTATTAGGGTTTTGCTAGAAAAGGCTTGCACAGTAGTTTGTTTCCATTCTAATGAAAAAAATTTCCTTCATTTTGATAGACATTAACTTACATCTAAATAGATCAAATATAGTGTACATCCATATGTAAAATATAGTTATTTTCAAACATATATACCATACATAAAAGACTTTTATTTAAATATGGTACAAATAAAATATCTAAAATATATTTAATACTTAAATGGAGTTTCAATAACAATCACTCCTTTACTTTTTTACATCTACATTTTTTCTTTGTCAATAGTGACTTTGGATTGGAGCAATAGAAAACTGATGAAGCTCTTTGATAAAACTAGTATTATGAATCATATCACAGGTGCATCAATTGTCTGTGAGCTTAAACTTTTTTTGCTTCAGCTTGCAGAATATCCATTAACAAATAAATATTTCTCAATCTGTTCTTTCGCGCTCAAGAATCTGCCTTGCCTTGTTTTTGTAAACTTTTTCTACATCATCAAGTTGATTACAAGTCCTACATTTGACTTCAAATCTGAACTGTATGACTTCATAGGCTTCTCAGAATGAACAAAGTCTTTCAACCACATTAGAGTGACTATCTCTTCTTCTGCTACTAAAGGCCTTTGAAAGGTTGGATTGAACAAATGCTTCAGACCACTTCAATTTTTCCCGGTATATCACAGAGTGAAACAATCAACGAAAGGTTCTCAGAAGCACCACATATCATCCAGGTTACTTTTGTTAATTGAATAAAATCTTTCAACCACATTGGAGTATCATGCTACACAAGTTTCTCAGATTAAATAGAATATTTCAAGGACATTGTAGTCACTATTTCTTCTTCTGTTACCGGAAGTTTGAAAGTCAGTTTCACACGTCTTTTCAATATCCTTGAAACATTATGTTCAATACGAGAAACCTGTGAAACTGACTTTCGAAAGCCCTTCAGTAGCAAAAAAATAGATGTTCACGCTAAGGTGATTGAAAAATTCTATTCAATCTGAGAAACCTTTGAGGTAAGATTTTCAGTTAAAAAAAACAACTCAGACATAGAGTTCTTGTGCATAAGATAACTGGACCACTACCAACAAAAGTAATCTAAGTTTCATCTAATATGGGGTACTTTTAAAAACCTTTCGTTGATGATTCCACATTCTATGTTAAAATGGTCGGAAGCATTTATTCTATCCATCCGATCATGATGAAGTAATTAATGGACCGATTTCACATACCATCAGATTGCGATTGTTGGGGATCATCGTTGAAGAATGAGACTCGCATGTGTGCGGCAACTACTTGGTTGCAGCGGGTGCAAGTGTGGTTATTGCAAGAGCGGCTGCTGTAAGCGTGGTGATGGTATACCTTCCCTCACATGAACTTATATATGAACATATATGTGTTGGTGATCTAAATTCAATTAGGTTAAATCCTCCTTGTCAAAGCCCACCAACCACCCCAATAAATATTCTCACTTTCGACCTGAAAAAAAAAAAAAAAAAAAATATATATATATATATATATATATATATATATATATATATATATATAAAGTTAAAAAAGAATATGAATATATTTTAAAATAGAAAGAAAAAAATTAAATTTAATTAAAATAATTATAAAAAATGTGGAGAAACATTTTAGTATCAGTATTTCCACTAGTATGTATTAATAAATATTTTGACTCACTTGAAAAAAATAAATTTAAAAAATAAAAAATATAAATATAAATTTTAAAATTGGCTACATGCTAAATGGGTGGTGGAAAAAAAAATTATATATATATATATATATATATATATATTAATTTAACCTGTTTTAGGACTTTTTCAAATTAGTTTAACCTTTGATATTTCTATATCAAATGATTGAAAATTGACATTAATAAAAAAATGTAATTACAAATAATTTTTTAAGTTGAAGAAAAATTATATTTTGTTAACTATTGTGAATTTTTCCGATAAAAATAACATCATCCCATTGAATGAAATGAAAAAAAAATATATATAAATTATATTAATGTATTTTTTTATAGAGATATTAAAAATTTAATTATTTAACAAATTTTTAAATGAATCATTCAAGTAAACACAAATATGTCTTAAGATGTCTCTCAAAAAATTATCATTTAAGTATACAATTACTTATATGTTTTGTAAATATGTCACACTTTTATTTCACTCATTTATAAATATGTTATATTTTATTTTTATTCTTTATAAATTTATTTTTAATTTTAGTACAAGAAAATATATTGTTTTTTTATTTTAGTCTCCACAAATTAAAAACTTGTTATTTTAGTCTCCACAAGTTAAAAACTTGTTATTTTAGTCCCTATTAATACTTTTTTTTTTTACTTTAGTCTCAGGTGACATTATATGCTGATAGAACATTTTTTTTATGACGTTAACAATACCAAGTTCACTATTTTGCTTATGTGTTAAAGTTAAGAGAGAGATAGGGACCAGAAGTAAATAAATAAATAAAAATTAAGAAGGACAAAAATCAAATAAAAAATAAAATAAGAATTAAAAAATAGTGTTGTGGTAAGGTATTGTTTTATGAATTTCAAATAGTTGACGTGTGTAGTAGAATGAGTGTAAACTAAATGAAATAAATAATTAGGGTTTAACTTCGTAAGACTTCTTAAGGAAAAAGATTTTAACATGATTAATCCTATTTACTTTATTCCTAAGAATAAAAACAATTGATTTATCTTATAATTTATAATTCAAAATAATTTCCTAATTAAAATTAAAATTATAAAATCATACAATTGATTTAATTTCTTAATTACAATGACATAAGAATTAAACACCAAAGAAGAACAAATCAATAACAATTAATTAAATAAATAAATAATTAGCGAGTATATGAAAGTAGATCAAATTATTAACTACTCATAATCATATCATCATCAAGAAGGACATTGTTTGTCTTTAATGAAGATAATGTACTGCAGAAGCAACATCTATTATGATGTTTGACCATTAGTTTTAAATGTTCCTGGATGCTCTGCACTTAACATTGTAGGATGCAGTCATTGCTCTAAGCTTCCATTTCTCATGTACTAAAAAACAAAAACTTTAAATTCTTGATCTTTGTAATCTCAGCTGGAACTTGTCAATGTCTGAACCAAATTTCAAGATTTAATATTTTTAAGTACATTTTTGAGCTCCTTCTTTTGGAAGGTTTTGGACCTTTATGGCAGTAACTTTGTCTTCAAGAGTTCCTTTTATAGACAGAGCTAAAATTGCCACACCATATCATGTTTGAAGTTGAGAACCCATTCCATTTTACTGATAAACTCTCAAAGAACTAGAAGAGAAGTGATGTTCCAACTTAACTTGCTGCATATTATTTTTTTTTAAAGTAAGTTCTCTTCTTTTTTTTCGTTTATGAATTTCATGTCTGATAAACCAGAGTTATAAAGAATTTTCTGCTATAATAGCCTTTTAATATTGAACACTAGTTTATGCATCCCGATGCTACGGTGAATATGGGCTCAGTTTGTAAGCTTTTCTTTGTTAAATAAATTAAATTTTGAAACCACTGTGTTGCTCTATTAAATTTTGGAAAATCGAAGAAAGGAAATCTAATAAATCCATTAAATGGATGATTACACACATTAAGTATATGATAGATGTTATTTGAAGGTGAACTGATGCAGTACACTACACTCCAAACACAACAGTTTTTGTAATGGTTGTAGCATTTAACCTCAGCTTTGATTATTCAAGTATCCACACCTGAAATTTGAGAAGAAGCCATTTACCATCTTAGTTTTGGAATCTTGAAATACATACAGAAAATTAAATTGTAACTATATAAGCAACCAATGAATTAAGAATATAGATATCTCAATTTTAATATTCTCAAGCTTGAAAGAAATACTAATAAATGTGAAATAAGTTAACAAATAAAAATAAAACAGAACGAAATTGCAAACAGGACTGAGATTAAAATTGGCAGAAGAATCTATGTGACTCATCTACATTTGTTTCCTCATAATATGTGCAGAATTAATTCATTTTCCATTTATCTTACCGGAAAGAAAGGCTCCTTTGATTTTGCTTAACTCTCTTGTAACATTCTCCATGTTTAATCTTTCTTTTGGTGACTCCACTGAACAAGCAAGTCCAATATTAAAGAGTGAAACTAAACAGTTTTCAACAGTTGGAGTAAGGTTCAGACTATTTTCTTCTTCTACTATTGGCTGTCTCTGCTTTAGGGAAGATGCATCCAAAATCTGTAGAACATTATCAGGAAGTGAATTTTCCACAAAGTTGCGCAAATTTTGACCATCTTCAAAGCTTTCATCCGTGGGTCTTATTCCAGTGAGAATTTCCAACATAAGAATCCCAAAGCTATATACGTCACCATTCATGGACACCTCAGAACCCACTCCATACTCTAAAACAAAAAGCCAAAATTATGATATTATTTCTTATCAATAGATATAAAGTTTTAATAGAAACAATGATTCAACCTTTATCATACCTGGAGGAGCATAGCCAACAGTCCCCTTTATTCCAGTTGTACTTGTTTGCTTAGAAGTGGTACCATTAATTGTTGAGAGAAGTCTTGTCATGCCAAAATCGCTCACATGAGCAACCATATCATCATCAAGTAGGACATTCCCGGGTTTTAAGTCACAGTGAATGATCGATTGCTCACATTCATGATGAAGATAATGTAATGCAGAAGCAATATCAATTATGATGTTTAATCTTTGATCAAGGCTCAATGTTCTAGGATTCTCTGCACTTAGTGTCCCAGGATGCAGCCATTGTTCTAAGCTTCCATTTTTCATGTATTCGAAAATTAGAGCTTTGAATTCTTGACCTTTGTAATCGGTACTAGAACAACATGTCAAAATAGGAACAAGATTTCGATGTTTGATATTCTTAAGTGCATTGCATTCAACAATGAAACTCTTGTGAGCTCCTTTTCTTTGAAGGTTTAGGACCTTTATGGCAACAACTTTGTCTTCTGACTCGAGAGTTCCTTTGTAGACAGAGCTAAAACTTCCAGACCCTATCAAGTTTGTCGTTGAGAACCCATCAGTTCCGTTGTGCAGGCTTTGGTATGAAACTTTAGCTAGCTGGTCAATTGTTGGTGAATCAAATGATGGTTTCTTACCCCTCTTCCTCGTCCAATAGATGATTAGAATAATTGACAGTATGAGAAGGCAAGCAATCACACTAACTATTACTGTTACCAATATGAACTTGTGGTGTTTTGCAAGTTTCTTACCTCTGATAGTGCATGGAGGCAGATGCAGTTTTGAAATACCTCCACAAAGCATACTGTTTCCAGTCACCACTAGTCCACTTGCATTTTGGAAGACACCTTCAGTTGGTACTTCACCTTCCAACATGTTGAAAGATATGTTGAAATATTGTAAGTAAGACAGATTTTGTAGACCATTTGGAATTGGTCCAGACAAGTGGTTTCTTGATAGGTCTAATGCCCTAAGATTCTTGACTGATGCCAAAGAGGATGGAATGATTCCTTGCAATGAATTCCCTTCCAAATAGAGGTTCTCCAACATTATGCATTCCCCAATAGTTCCAGGAATGTGACCAGTCAGATGATTATCAGACATAGATAGAAAATTGAGATTTTTTAGGTTGCCCACTTCTGCAGGTATACTGCCACTCAAAGAGTTTTGGGTCAAATCCAAGAAGTTTGTGAGAGAGGACAAATTAAAAACCTCTAAGGGTATGGCGCCTGTAAGGTTGTTTTGAAAAAGATCTAATTGTTGTAACTTTTGGCAGTTTCCAATATTTGGAGGAATATTTCCTTCCAACATATTTTGTCCCACACCCAACATAAACAATTGACTAAGGTTGCCTATGAAGGCTCCTATTTCTCCTGACAGCATGTTTGTACCTAATTCTAATTTTTGCATTTTGTGAAACTTCCCAAAAGTTGTTGGGATAATCCCACCAATGAAATTATCTTCCATCATCAAGAGAGTTAAGTCAACTAAATTTCCTAATGTCACAGGGATTTCTCCTGATATTTGATTACCTCCGAGATATAGTTGACTGAGTTTGCTGGATAAATTTCCTATGGAATTTGGCAAATATCCTCCAAAATTGTTGTAGGATATAGACAAAATTTGTAACTTACTACAATTTACCAATGATTTTAAAAACTCCAAATCCTTAATGGAATTGTCACCTAAATTGTTTTTTTGCAAAGATAGACGATAAAGATATTGTAACTTGCTCATATTTGGAACTTGTCCAGAAAAGTAGTTTCCACCAATATCAAATGATGAAATAATAGATGCATTTATGATGGAAGGTGGGATTGGACCTGAGAGTCGATTGCCACCAAGTAGAAGTAGTTGGAGATTGGGGAGGGTGTGGAACATGTTGGGTGAGAGAGAATCATTGAACTGATTTGCTGAAGCTGAAATCTTTGTGAGAGATGACATATTATAGAGACAAGAAGGGAATGTTCCTGTGAGGTTGTTGACACTCACAAATACAGATGCCAAGCTTTTGAGATTGCATATCTGTTGAGGAATATCTCCCTCTAAGTTGTTCATAATCACGGAGAGATAAATTAGGGATGAAACGTTACCCATGAATGCTGGAATTCCTCCTGTGAGCTTGTTCTTGCCAACATTCAGACTTCGAAGCTTTTGAAATGAACCAATTTGAACTGGTATTTTGCCAATCAGATTGTTCCCAAGTAAGTATAAGACTTCCAGATGAGTGCAAGCTGTCAAGTTTGTGGGAATTTCTCCTTCCAATGAGTTATTTCCAATATAAAGTTGCTTCAGCCGTGACAAGCGTCCCAATTCTTGTGGGATTTTCCCGTACAAGTTGTTGTTGTCGAGGTTGAAGTTTGTCAAGTATGAGAGATTGGCAATGTGAGGAGATATGAAACCCTTCAACTTGTATCCTTCCAAATTCAACGTTGTAACTCTTTGAAGCGCGGAATTGCATGTGATTCCATGCCAGTTACAAAAGTGAATAGAAGTATTCCAAGAGAATAAGATTCCATAAGGGTCAGAAGATATGGATTCCTTGAACTTGAGCAGTGCCAAATGATCAATATTATTTGGTGAAGCAATAGCCTTCATCATGTTTGGGGTAAACCATAGTGAGTTTAACATAAAGAGAAAAAACAAGAAGGCATGTGTAGAAGGAAATGAAAGTAACATGGGAGAAGAAAACTTCATTTTGATGGTGATTCTCCTCCTATTCTTAGACAACTTCATGTAGATTTGGTAAATGGATGGGTTTAGAAGGAAAAGAAGTGCTACGGTGTATAATATAAATCCTGTCCCTATAAATTTACACTAATTATATTGAATGATGAGATTGCTTTTTAGGGCTATTATTGCATGGACGATAGGGTTTCTTTAAGGAGTTTTTCTTTAACAAGTGTATATATTTTAAAGATTTTTTAACCTCTAATCTTTTTCAGCTTTAATGTATATTAAAGTTAAATTTTAATATTGTAAAAAAAAATATCATGGGTTAAAAATATTTTTGTACCACAATATAACTGTTTATATTATTAATCTATAATATAATTTATATCTTCAAATTTAAGAAACTTTTGTAATTACTAACCTCTAGATAATAAAATGTTATTATTGAGAAATATATTTTTTATATCAGTTTTAGAAATTAATTGTTAAAAGAATGATTTTAAAAATAAGTTAAAAAACATTTACTCCTTTTAAAATATATATTATACAAAAATAGATTATATTTGTGATGAAAATTGAATATTAGTTTTGTAACGAAAATGAATAATGTCATGTAATAAATATGTAAATATTATTAATAAAAAAATGTTTTTAATATTAAAATATTAAAAAATTGACATTATTTTTTTAGCTTTTTAAAACTAAAAAATTAAAATTATTTTTCAAAACTGTAAAGAAACACGTTATTATATTTCTGTTTTCATATAAAATAATAATATGTAAGTATATTTCTGTTTTCGTATAAATAATAATATATTAGTCTATGTATTGTTATTTTAAAAAAAATGTTCCATTTTAAAAATACTAGTTTCAAATTCGTAATTAGGATTACATTTACATTGAAACTATTTTTAAATTTTTGTCCTTTACTATTTTGTTTTAAAAAATTATTTTGTTGAGGAGAGAGAGTGTCATAATCTATTTTTAATTTTATTCTTTAAACGATGTAACTTACGTGTATATACTAAAACATAGTATAGTTCTAAGTTAAGGACTAAAATTTTATTTGGTATTCTGATATAGAAATATGAGTGTCTTATCCAAATAAAAATATATATTAATGGGTTAAAAAAATATTTATAAGTTATACTATTATTTGTTTATTAAGAATTCTTTATTAAAATATTTAAATAAAATATAAATATGTTCGCATAAATATATATATATATATATATATATATAATTAAATAAAAATAGTTTTTAAATATAAATAATATTTAATTATTATGTTTATCTCATACAAAATATTAAATAATTATTTTTATTCCTCACGTACTTTTTTACTTACATCTTTTTTTTCTTTCATCGTTTTATCTTTATACAATTTTTTTTCTCTTTTGATCTTTATTTTCACTTTTTCTACTTTAACACTTCCACTTTTATATATTTTTTAATTTTAGTATTTCGTTTCTATATATATTTTTTAATGATTTCACCTCCAAAACAAAATTTATAATTTTTTTAAATAGTTTGAATTTTTTCTGTTTTGTTAAAACAAAAACATTTTTTTTTCTGTTTTGTTAAAAAAAAAACATTTTGTAGCGAATAACCAAACTTAACCAAATATTTTTTTTATTTGTTATTATAACATACTAGTATTTGTATTATTTATTATAATTAATTACTTGTTTTAATATATTTATTATGTTTTTTGAGGTTAATATTTAAAAAAAATAAACTTTCTTATTTAAAAGTTTTGATTTTATCTTATTTAGATAGTAAAATAGGTTAATAGTTATCCATCATTCTAAAAAAAATAGTGGTATGAGTTAGTCAACCCGTTTAGATTTATCCCACTTAATCCGTCAATTATGTAGGACGAGAATATTGACTCGGGGATTCGATTTTAAACAATATTTATATATTAAAATTAAAAAAATAGAATTAAAAATTTTATATATTTCTATATTATGTTATTAAAACATATAAATATATTATACTTTAAATTATAAAAATAATCAATTAAATTTAAATTATTGATTATAATTAGTTATTGTAACATATAAATATCATAAATTTCCAATTTATCTAATAAAAATATTAATTAATAAATAAAATTCAAATAATATTCATATAATTAAAAATATATTTTTAAAAAATACATATAAAAAATTATTAACGGGTTAACCATTAGTTTGTCCTTTAACAGGATAAACTAAAGTTTGTAGTTTGTCCCGATTATGATGGATTAATCTATCTCATCCCATTTTTTGTAGACTAAAGACAAATTGAGTCAAAACGGAACGAATTCACTCATTTTGTCATCTAATCTTATTTAAATGAGAGAAATCTTATGATAAATTTTTTTAACAAAATTGTTAATTATTTGTATATTAGCTTAGTGTGAAGATACATAAATATATAATAATAATAATGGAACAATTATGATAATACATAATAATGATAAAATGGATCAGTCTTTAGTTTGATTCATTTCGTCTCTGAATTGTCAAGACTAGGATAAGATAAGTTGACCTATTATAATGAGGATGAATTATAAACCCTAGCCTGTCAATAATTCATTGATTATATGAATAAATTTTAAAATTTTAATTAATTAATATTTTTATTAGATAAATTGAAAAAATATTATATTTATATATCAAAAGAACTAATTATAACAAATATTTTAAATTTAATTAATTAATTTTTATAATTTAAATTATAATATAATAATATATTTATATATTTTAATAATATAATATAAAAATATATAATATTTTTAATTATAATTCTTTTTATTTTAATATATAAATATTTTTTTTTAAATTATAATATAATAATATATTTATATATTTTAATAATATAATATAAAAATATATAATATTTTTAATTATAATTCTTTTTATTTCAATATATAAATATTTTTTTTTAAATTGATTAAAAGATAAACTCATCTTGTTCTATCTTTCCTCCATTAAATTAATAGGCTAAACAAAATGGACAAAAATAATTAAAATATAAATTAAAATCCCTAATTCGTTCCCTTATGTTTTTAAGGCAGATTAATCCACCCAATCATATGTGATAACAAAAATTGTGTAAGTCTAGTAAGTCAAGCATCCAGAAATAAAGTCATTGTCATTGTCATTGATTTATGTGGACTACACCTAAATTATTGACGGGATCGGTCCTACATTGTTTGAATTGGAGAAAGTACAGTATGTATTATTAATTGATAAATTTTATTTTCACATCATATTTTAAAAACATTCATTTTAACTGCGCATCTTAATATAATATTATTATTTATTATTATATTATTTTTTAAGTTCGTTGATGGGATATATTATACATGTACACGTGTGTCGGGACGGGTTTTGTCTCCCAATTCCCATGTCCTTTCAATTTTTATCTGAATTATTAGAAATTAACTTTTCGTTTTTTTAGATTTTGGATTTTTTTTCCTTCTTTTCATCTTTTATTTATATTTTTTTTAAATAATTATATTTATAATAAATTAATTTATATATTTTTATATAATTTATAATTATTATTAATTAAATATATATTTTAATTTATTATATTTATATTAAAATATATAGATAAAAAATATATAATATTTTTCCTTTATATACTTATATAATACTTGTAATATTATTATTATTATAATAATATTATATTCAAATATTTAATTATATATAAAAAATAATACTTATAATATTATTATTATAATATTATATTTAAATATTTAATTATATATAAAAATAAATTTCTTAAATTATTATTTAAAAATATGAAATATATAATTTATAACAAAATATTTGATTAAATATAATATTTATAATGTTATTATTATTATAATACTATATTCAAATATTTAATTATATATAAAAATTAATAATTTAAATTATTATTTAAAAATATGAAATATATAATTTATAACAAAATATTTAATAAGTTAATTTTTATTTAATTAATTTAAAATAATAAAATTTTAAATTATTACTTTTTTTAATTTTTTAATATATTATTATTTTATTAAAATAAAATTTAATATATGATAAATGAAAATAATAAGATCTAAAAGAATAAGATATAATAAAATCGAATAAATAAATAAAAATAAAATAATATTAATTATTATTAAGATTTATGTAAAATATAAAAAAAAACTCTGTGTCCATCAAATTAGTTGAAAAGATTAAAAAAAAACAAATTGGTTGAAAAGATTAAAAAAACGTAAAAAACTGAAATATAAAATAAAGGTAATAATGTAATAAATTAATTGATATAAAAGATAAAAAAATAAAAATAAGTAAAAAAATAAAAATTGTGAAATATAAATAAAATGACTATATATGTAATAGAAAAAAATACTTTTAAAATATTAATATTTTAAAATTTAAATTTAAATATAAAATCATAGTAAAAATAGGAATGAAACCGAAATTACTTGTCCTCGTCTCCAAATAAAAATAAAGAATTTGAATACACTAATGATCAACGTCAAATTTAGGATGAAATGAATTAATCCCAAAATTTGAGTTTAATTTTGTATTTATCTTCTTGATACCATCACAGAAAATACAAAAATAGATGAAGACTTAAAAAATCAAAAGATTATTCTTACTTTTATATGTATACCATCACAGAAAAAAAAAATAGATGAAGACTTGAAAAAGCAAAAAATTATATGAAGACTTAAAAAATCAAAAGATTATTCTTACTTTTATATGTATATATATAAAAATAAAGAGGTGAGTAATTTATACGAAATAAGTGGTAGTGGGTCAAGTGAAACAGATATAAGTTAAGCACCCCAAAAGACGTTCTTAGTTGTACAAATGAATCCAAAATTAGATTTCTATCACATCACCAGTGTGGACAGTGCAATAAAGTCTATAATATAAAACTCATATTAAAAA